GGCCCAACCCTGACCCCAGCAGTCGAGGGGCGGCCTCACCGGAGCCGAGTATAGGGAATTATATAGAAAATATGCGAAAAAAAACCCCACCAAAAAACCACCCAAAAATCTATTTATGCTGGCAGGTCAAGCCCTCAAAACTTGCAGGGTGCTGCCTTTGCATTAATTTCTGCCACCCTGCCCGTGTGCATCTCAAAATAGTTTTCGGTGACGTGACCGCACGGTGTCAGCCACGCTGCGAGGAGTGCAGCCCTGGGATGGGCATCCCTGCAAACCAGTCCCTTGGGATCAAGGATGCAGAGAAGAAATCCTAGCAGGAGAGTCACTTCTTTACCAGATGATGCTTTATTGCCTTTAGGGAACCGGTCCCAGCCTGGTCCTGCATCTGGAGATGCTCCCTGCCTGTACGGAGGCTCTAACGAGCTCGCAGGAGCAGATTTTTAGGGAGACAGAAAAAAAAAGGCGACTCTTGGTCCCCATGCCGAGCCCAGGGCCAGCCCCCAACTTCCCATTCTGCGATTTCCAAAGGTGCTGTTATCCCAAGACATTAACAAGGGCGCATTTCCCCCCAAAGGGCTGAAGTCGGTTTGCAAGCAGCAGACAAAGCAACGCGGAAAATTTCATCCCAAAGGGATAACGTGCCGCAAAGTTGTAAGGAGATGGAACGCCGAGGCTCGTGATGCCAAGTGTTGGGAAACGTTAATAAAAAGCAGAGCTACCAGCCCCACCTATAATATAATTTAAACCTTTATATGTAATGTTTAACCTAGCAGGATCGTTTTTCCTACTAAACGTGCAGCCTGCCAGGACTGTACAAGGCAAAGCTTTTTTCAAGCTATTACCCATCTCCGGCAGCGGACGGGGAGAAATTCAATCCTCCCTGCCCCGGCAGCATCTCTGTGGGATGGAAGAGAGGTTTTATGGCTCTACCTAGGTCTGTGTCGAGGTGGGAGCGCGTGCCGGGGCAGCCAGGGAGCTCGGCAGGGGCGGGGGTTGGGGGGGGTGGGGGGGGGGGGTGGTGGTGAGATGCTCCAGTTGCGGGGAAGCACCCAGGGGAGGCGGCAGCGTGGCTTTGCGAGATGGGAGCTTGGCTCTCCGAAGGAGAACGGCGCTCTGTGTGTGTGAATAACCTTAATGCAATTGCATTAGGAGAGCGATTAGGGCTCTGCGAGCTGTCACAACACAAATAATAGGAACAAATAATGTTAACCTTTCTGGCTGGAACAGTTTCTCCTTCAGCCACTCCGGGGCTGTCTTGGTGGGAAAAGCTGAAATATTTGCCGTTTTCTCCAGCGTTTTAGGCAGGGTAAAACAGCAGACTAGAAGCTGAGCAGCCTTTGTTTAAGGGAAAAAAAAAATAATTAATGAGCTATTAAATGAAGTCCTGCTTCCTGCGATCAGATGTCCCCAGGAGGGAGGAGTGGCAGATCCAGGTGCCCGTGGGGTCCTCGCCATAGGATGAGGAAGGGAAGGGATCTGACGGGGAGGTTGGGGGAGTACATTTTCCCCCAGGAAAATATATTTTCTCTATTCCCCCCCACCTCGCCCCAGTAAATTTGCTCCTCTGCCGTTCCTCGAGCGCAGAAAAAATGCAAAGGACTGATTCATTCAGAAATCCCATTTGGGAACCTCTGCTTCCCTTGCACCCCCGTTCGCCGGGGAGCCCAAGGGCGACCGTCTGGGCTTGCATCTCCCCGGCGAAGGCACCGCTCGCTGCCATGGGTGCGAGTCCCGATGCTTTCGGGAATCGTGAGATTCCCCCCCCCCAGAGCAAAACACGTAATGCAAGTGGTAGCATGCAGGGAATCCCGGCAGAAATCTCCTTCTACATCTCAATCACTCCACTTTGCTTAAATACACTTTCCCCTGAAGGAGAGCTCCCGCATTGGAGCAATGCTGAAAATGGCTAAAAAATATAAATAAACCCAAATGAAAACAAGCGGCTGCATGCTATTAAAAATACTTCCAAATATATTTAAGAATAAACCAGTGTTTTCAAATTTCCACTTTGCTCAGGGTGTTCAAGAAGGCAAAACCCCTTCAGCTCCGTGCGGGGCGACCCAAACGAACGACTTGGTTTTCATGAGTGATGGTGGGAGATGGCCCCGTTGGACCGGTCCCAGTTTTCCTTGTGATGATTTTCTTGAGTTAAAGTCCTCCTACCCCTACGCTTTGTGTTTAGAAGCTGTTGAACATATGGGGGGATGTAGAAGCTGTCGGGTTGAAGCCTGCCTTAGTAACGGGCCACACTAGACCATCTCTGCGTGGAGCTTTTAACCTCCAAGATGCTAATTTAACCTGTCCGGATTAAGGGTCAGGATCCCCATGGGTGCGCCTGAACCTTCCTACTAACCTTCCTACTAACCTTCGCAGTGAGTGTGAGTCAGTGCCAACATCTCTCCGTGCCTCAGTTTCCCCAAATGGAGCCAAGGAAGCTGCCCTTGCTTCTGAAGGACTTTGGGAGCCCCCTGGGAAGGCTCAGCTCTAGCATTCCAGGGTGCATTAAGAGGAGTGTGGCCAGCAGGGCAAGGGAGGTCCTCCTCTCCCTCTACTCTGCCCTGGTGAGACCCCACCTGGAGCTCTGTGTCCAGCTCTGGGCTCCCCAGTTCAAGAAAGATGAGGAGCTCCAAGAGAGAGTCCAGAGGAGGGCAACAAGGATGATGAGGGGACTGGAGCATCTCCCCTACGAGGAAAGGCTGAGGGAGCTGGGCTTGTTCAGCCTGAAGAAGAGAAGACTGAGAGGGGACCTCATCAACACGTACAAATATCTCAAGGGTGG